GAACAAATTGTGTCTACAGTAATTTACGTGAAGTGTACCGGAAATTAAGTGGCAACACAATAACATAATATACTGACACCCTCGACTTATGCTCAATTTTTTTTTGATACATACTGAGTAATTTTCAAATTACATACTTAAAATTATTATCAAAATTATTTTAATTGCTTGAAATTATCATAATTGTTTAACTGAACCGAATGAAATCAGTTAACCATTCAGATGATATCAACCTGTAATGATGTACTGAATGAGTCAAATATGAAGTAATAATTTAGTTAAGGAAATAAAAGTGCAAAGTCTTTTTTGGCGTTAAACAATCCCGTCTGAGGGATGGGCCCGGGATTCGAACTCGAGACCGTGTATGTCACATCTGACTACACCACCTACGCCATAGCCAATTAAATATGTATATATAAATATTTTTAAAAAAAAAACTTAATTAGTTTCTCCTACTTGTTACAATTTCGTCTAATTAAACCGGAATATGTTAATAGAATGTCTGATGTACAATTCAATCAACGGGACATTCAGTGAACAAATAATTCGAAAAAAAAATTAAAAATCCCCTTCACTATAAATGAAATAATGATTTTCATTTTATTCATAATTATGATATTATCAATTACAACGTCATTCTCCTATAAACATTTTTATGTCTGTTGAATTTGACTCTTCAAATTCAATTCTTTCAATGTATTCAACTCTATAAAACTCATAATCGGAATAAGATCTCCAACGAGCTTAGTAAACTGAACATTCCACCTCCCTTAGCGGTTTCATTGAGGTAGTGAAGGATTAATTCCACCTGTTGATGTTTGATTGAGATTTTCTCCATGTAAAATGGATTGTTTCAGAAGGAGGCGCGTCGACTTCCCATGGCGACGCCAAAGAAATCGTCGAAGAAAAGTATCATAGGTCGTATAAAGAGGTAAGCAAAAACAGTCATTAAAAAGTTGTTTTTTTTTCGTCGCAGTTAGCGCTGCAGTGGTTCAGTTTCGGAAGAAAAACCATGGAATCATGCCATTTGATCCAGCACTGGACGAGACTAATCAGAAGAAAGAAAAAAAGGAAAAAAAAAAGAAAAAAATGCTCAAAAAACTTCTCGAGACATTTGAGTGGCTAGGGTCACTCAGTGTGTTTGCGCTCATTTGAACAAGGTGAAGCTTGCGTCAGGCAAGGCAGGGATCGTATTGTATTTGCAGGAGGGGTAGAAGGATTCTCACCAGCAAAGACGTATCAGAGATTCTATACCCTCTCGACGCTTACCGACGTTTTTGTGGACGTTTAATGGGTTTGGGGGATCGTATAGCGGTGAAAATACCCAGGGAGATTCTACTGACAGAACATCTATTCCCGATCGCTTCGTTACGGTTTCTATTCGCCTTCTAATAAGGATTCTTGTTAGCCATTCGACACTGACTGCTATGGGATGTCTCGATACATATGATTGGGGGCTAAGAACTAATTAATCAAAAACAAGATAAAATGTCAACTTCAATAATTTCAACTTTGCTCCCATCTCCCGTCAGATATGGCAACTCCGCTTTTGACTAAAAATGGTATGCTACCGCAACGGGATAACATTCTCCAAAAGAACTTCGCCATACAAGGCACACACGGGATTCGAACTGGGTTTTCTCGAACTTACCCTACACTTGCCATGTGACTGCAAAATAGTGATGTTTCCAAAAAAAATTATGCAAGAATCTCTCAGTGAGAAGGACCTTCCAGTCACCTACGCTGTTTTCGACATTATCCATCATCATAATGTTTCGACATTATCCATCCATTCGCGCACACCAAACTATCATTTCAATGGAAAATCCTAATGACATTCAGTTTGTCGCCCACAATGCTTGCAAAGATAAAGTGCGTGCGTCAGATTGCAATTTGCTTACTTTTACTCCAAGAAAACTACTTGTTTCATCCCATACGCCCTCAATTAACTGGCTTGGACCATGGCTTTTGGCTCTGTCAACCCCATCAGTACCACAAAGATCGAAAGGCTAACAATCCCATCGCCGCCGTGTAATTTCAATCTATGGAATTTAAGGGCTCAATCAAGGCGGTTTAGGGTGTACAAGCGACCAAATGATTTTAATAAGCATTTTCCATTGCTCCAAGGCAGTTCAAGGGCATCTAAAATCAGTCGAGTTCGATCCTACCATTTCAGGAGCACTCTTCTGGAGCTGGACGATAGAGTCTCCCGTAGTCCGAGCAATAGCTAGCTGCTACTACTCCTGCTACTACATCCTGTACTGTGTGTGTGCGGTGAATTCGGTGCTACAGAAATTTTAGATCAGTTCTCTCTCTCGTTTTTTGCATTTTTGTTCTTTTCAATTTCTTTTTTTTTCGTTTTTCTGGTTCACAATGCTCTTCCCCCTTACTGCCATATTCGCACACATTCATTGTTGAGTTTTATGTTCCTTTCATTCTTTCATCCTGCCTTTTTTTTCATTCATCACTGTCCACTTGTCCACTTTCCCACGAATAGACAGAGACTATATTGTATCCAATATAAAGTGACCTTCCAAATTACTAAAGATTCTTATAGAAAAAACTATATATTTACTATATATGTATGTGAGTGTGTGTGTTTATTTGTTTTGTATTTCCTCATCACGGATCACATAGAAATTGTCACTCGATGACGTCATTTGCTCAGTTCGTACATAATAAAACATTTTTTATCTGGTTGTATATTTTTGTTGACGAATTGAGATCCTTGATAGTTACCGATTTTCACCGAAGAATCGCCGGCCCTCGGCTAGTGCTAGCCCGGGGCCGCCGATTTCCGCCGAAAGATAAAATCACTGCTTCGGTTTACATAACCTAATTTCATCCATCGGCAGTAGTTAGTTTAAAATTAACCTTTAATAGGTCAAAATAATATTCCAGGAGACAGTTACCCCATTTTTTTAAACTCCAAAAATACCGCCACGCACTTGACTTCAATTCGGAATCGCCACAGCGTTTGTTTGGATACGCGCCCTATACATTGATTTGAAAGGACTACCGTTACACGAACCAATGCATTCCCTCCCCTCCCCTCTAGAATGTGCACCGACCTCGAACGGATAAAATATCCAGTTAATCAAAATGACTTTTTACTGAGGAATCGATCCTTCGACCGTGTGCATGTTAACGGCGCCACTTGACAATACTTCACCTCGCCCCTGCCATCTTTCGCTGGCCCTAAGGCTACCGTGGGACACGGTTTTTCCTTGCTCGAACTCCTATGACATACTGAGCATGCAATTTTTCTCAGTCAATAGCCTTGTTTATTTGCTGAATGGCCAATAAATAAGCTTAACTCATGGGTGTAAGCATCTTCATTTTTTGTTTCTGGTAGCAATATTCTTGTGCCGTGCGAGGTTGTTAGGTGGAACTTTTTTTTCATTTTTGTGTTTTTGTTAATAACTGCTTTGTTTCCTTGAACTTTGACCTCGGTTCATAGTTCACAGGGCTGTCTTACAAAGTATAATAAAAAATAAAGCAAAGATCAATGTCTGTCCTTGAGAAGCAAGCATGCGCAAAACGACCGAACGACGATTGTACAGTCGACCGTACTGATCTCTGACGTCAAATAACGCTGAAGGACTTTTGGGAGAGTAGAACTTTGAACGTGTCGATATGGAGAGGAATGATGAAGACTAATGATTTCGTCAAAGGCTCTCTGATTCGACGATGTCTACACAAATACTCAAGGTTCGACTGATTCTCAAATTCTGCACCATTGAGTAATTCGGCGAAGAAGACTTGTGGAGGGGTGTCTCACAGAACCACCCTGCTGACTGTCCCCCTCAGTGTCGTCTCGTTTTTACAACATCTTTCTAGATTCAATTCTATCGGTGGTTTCACTTTTTTGAAAAGTGCATAAGTCGGACCGATACAGCCCAGGCTAAAGAAGGCCTTACGTTCTCCCGAGGCCGGTTAATCAGTACCAGACTCGCCTGTGAGGGTGGAAGTACTGAGTTTTACATGTGGCTCTAGCAATCGCAAGTCACAGCAGAAGCCACATGCACACTCGAAACACCATAACGATTCTGAATGGAAGTCAAATGCATCCCAAATCCTCGCGTTAAAACTCCTTCAAAAGGTGCACAATCTCATAAGAACCCAGGGTATTTTTTGCAAAACTTTAGCTTTTCTATCACTGGCTTACTTCCTCCTTTTGGTCGGACCACTCGATTCCATCGAGATCAATCCATCGAAAGATCTTCCACTAGTTTCTAGAAATTCCTTGCTAATTGAAAGGTTGGAGCACTGAGAGTTGCAGTGCCACTGTCTCTGTGACCGCCTGGCAAGAAGGAGTTGTACTTGGAGGTATTTACTCGTTCTCGAAATGTCGTTCTATGAATATGATTGCCCTTAGAAAACAGGCAGCACCGAATGATTCTAGGAAGGAATTCGGTCCGTCCTAAGCTCCGCATTGTTTTGCGGAAGTCATCGAACTGGGGGTGAAGTATTTCTTCGTGAGAAAGTTCTGAATCATTCGTCTCAAACCACGATACCTTTGGGTTGACGCAGAAGAAGCTGAGAGTAGTTCACTTCGACTACGTTCACACAGCTCAGGAAATCGAATGGAACCATTTTCATGTCCTTTACTGCGGAGTTGCCGTGCACTTCTCTTCTAGTCTTTTCACCTTCACATCTTTCAGGATTTTATCGAAGTTCCTTATGTGTGTCAGTGACCCTCTGGGTGACCATCCAGTCATCTGACGTATGCTGGGTACACGTAGGTACCATGTGAAGGTGAAGCGCAAAGCCTCGTTGGCTAGATCCGGAAGCTCCGCCTGCTTGACCTACGGTAGATGAGACGGGCGCTCGGGTCCGCCCATAACTGTGCGGCGGTGGGGCAGGCGGTGGCGCGCGATGTGCTGCTCTCTGGCGATCTGTCTTCTACTGCTCATATTGCCACCCAGTCACCCGGCCCCAATGGTTACCGAAGATTTCGACGAAACTGTGGTTCGTACAAGCAATATTTTTCCTATCTACTTCATCAAAATACCCTTTGAAGAGCTTTTTTCGCCGACCTGATTCCACTGGTTCCGTTGGTTCCTTCCCAGTTCAACAGGGATTTCCCCTCTAGTTAGGTTCCAAACGCTCACAATCGTCTAGCCGCTGTTCTTGAATGGGGGTCCCGAAACGATCTCGAAGAATTTCGAATCTAAAGAGGAGTATGTAGTGACCGGTTGAGCCGTTGTTAGATTCCCTGACTAGGATGGACCGGCCGATTGTAGAGAATTCAGTTTGACTGGCATCGTCGCCTGAGATCGTTCAATTCCTCCACGACCTAGACTGTGCCGAGCCGATCCTTGCTGTTTACGGTTTGGCGTATCAACTTGTTGACATGTCGATTGTTTACGGCCGTCTTTCGATGATTTCAAATGGAAACATAGATAGCCGAATGGTTCCCTCAAACAGCAGCAGCAGCAGTAACCACAATCCCAGTCAATTACTCGATACCCCGTCACACAGCACAGCATCTTTTCCGTTATCATCCCATCTCCTTTCATTCACACGCACTTCGTATTTTATTGCCATAATGGACAGAAAAAGTGCTCTCCTTTGTTAAGTGTGTGATTCTCAGATTTCTCCTATCATTCACATGATCCAATTTATCTACGGTCGTCGTCATCATGTCTCTCTATAGATGAAAATCGAGGCCATTCAACTATCTCCTTAGTTCATTACCTTTTCTGGTTCTATATCAATTTTTTGTCGCTTTCGGGATTTTGTTGGTCTTTCAACCTGAACACCAAGAAGCCCGCCCCCTATTTGGCCGACGTAGTTGGTGTGGACGTTCTAAGAACGTACAATCGCTGAAAAAAAAAGTTTCCAGTAGTTGTGCTATCGACTTTTCATTACACTCCATGCGCTCCATAATACTGGTCGCCGAGAGAGACATCGTCATGGCCTGCATTGACGAAAAGGGAGACGAGTTGTCCATTCGATTAGTTACGTTTCCTTGCTTGGGTCCAGATAGAAACTGTCGTTTTGTCGATGAAATCCCTTTTTCTTCCTTGACATAGTTATTCCTTCCCGTAGACAGGGACAACCGTAATCGTTTTCCGAACACAGAAAGTCTTCAGCTTTTTAAGCCTCAACAATCCGACTGCAGCGGTCCCCCGCCGTAAGAAAATCCGTTCAAATGTCATACTAATCTTCTAAAAACCTCCGTGACGTTGAGCTCGAGACGGGATCTGTCAGCCAGATCAAAGACTGTTGGCTCATCCATTATTGCCCACGGCAAGTTGTTTCTGCAAAGTTCCCAGACCTCCCGGAGACCGGTTTTTCCCGAGGAAGTACTGATGATATTGAAACTCGATATGATTTGAGAGCGATAGCTCCTTCCTTTTGAGAAGATCGTTCGCTCAGTTCACGAGAGTGTGACTTGAGAAAACGCCAATTCCTCATAGAAAAGACCCGCTGCTGCTACGGATGGCGAACCCAGTTCGTCCTAGCAGAATGCAAAAAATCTTCAGAATGGTTTTGCTTTTGAAAGAGGTCACACAGAAGACAAGATTTTTCGGATGGCTTTCTTATAGCGAAGAACGATCATATGTGTGTGTGATGGAGAACATTTCAGCAATACCTACATCGCTTCGGTTATCTAAGCACCCCCACGCCCAGCCTCCACGAATTCCGTGCCGCACTTCGATTATTCCAGGTAGAACGGAAGGTCTCTTATCTGATTATCGAGGAGCAAAGAAAACATTCGGACGTCATTTACAGGAAGTGGTTGGGGTTAAACCGACCGGGGAATTGACTCCCGAGACTGTGGAAGCCACCCGAAGAGAACGTTGCGCTCAGAAGGACACAAGAAGGGAATCGGGCAGATCGAAGAGATTCGGTAAGTTCAAGTGATCAGCCATGCTCTGGGTGAACTATGATCTGGAAAAATTACTTGCAGCTCTCTCTGGAACATCAAAATGGGACAAAAAGCATTTCACAGGCTTGCACGAATTAACCCTCAAATGGTTCGTCTCCGAATACACCAACGATATGCCAAAAGCGGTTATTCGGTAAGAATTTAGGCGCATTCTTTGACTGTATCCAATGAGTCGTATAGATTTCAGCTCAACAATCCAGAAAGCCTTCCAGCTTTGGGCAAAACAGGCGAATGAGAGGAATCTGCCAAAGGTTAGCGTCTTAGTGACAGTTTAAGCTGATAGCTGACCACAGCTCAGCGATTTCCGGTAGCCGTAGGCATCACACGACCTTATGTGAAACTGTTTACTACGTGACGTTCCGAGTCGTAGATAGACCAAAGAATAGCGAATCATCAGCAATGACGCAAACAGATTCACCAGTCGTAAACAAATTGTTGACATTTGAAGCCCTAATCTAGTGTTTACTCAGGCATGTCTGATTCATATCCATTGAGTTGAGTAAGCGATTATCGAGGAGGTTGAAACAACACGCTAATTTCGTCTATTCCAGGTGACTTTCCACTTTGAAGAAGCGGCATCACAGGATGAAGCTGACATCAATATTTTATGGGCTGAGGGAGCTCATGGAGATCAGCACGAGGTGAGTTCGACCCATACCACCAAGCAGTTTTCACCCAGCTCTATCAATATCCTCTTTCAGTTCGACGGCGCTTCGGCAAAGAAAAACATTTTGGCACATACATTTTTCCCCGGTCATTCGGAACCGCTCAATGGTGACATCCACTTTGACGATGCTGAAACTTGGGAGGCCGACTCAGTAGCAGCCACCAACTAGTTAGTGCTTGCTATAACTTTATCTTTAGTACATCAGAGCAAAAAGTTACAAGAGACTTCGCCGTCCACAGGAATCATTCCTGCAAGTTCCGTAATGGGAGAAATACAGTGCTTATCATCTGAGGTAGGGACCACCCGAGGGCAGGGGCAGAGTTGTGCAAAGTAACGCCACTACCGCTCTTATGGTCCGGAAATACTAGATTCTCACGCGTTTAGCAAAGCTTCAAGATTTGTAAAATGAGGTACTACATGCACTGGAGAATGAAAACTTTGGTACATTGGTTGGTCCCTGCAAGCCATTGCATTGATCAAATACCCATTCAAAGTTCTCTGCAATTCTGAATGGATGTTGAACACGTGGCGCATCCCTAAATGAAACAGATCAATATCGTCCTTATTAGCCTTACCTTTATCGCCCCCTGCAAACCATAGCTGTGCTGGGACCCTATCTCCTCCTAGGTTGAGAACAGACAGAAGGCTAAGCATTCCCATACACAAGGAACCTGAGTTCCCAGACTTCTCAAATCATGACTTTCAAAGTTTCCACCGATCCACAGCTCAAGGAAGATTCTTAGATACTTGAATGCCGTACCTGATTGCCTTCAGTTTTTCTAGTGCATTTTTAAAGTTACTTTTTCATTCGAGCCCAATCAGATCTCAAAAAACCATGATTGATTACCGGTAGTCCCATGAACGAAGTGGAACGGAACCTTCAGCTGTTGATCTGCTTCTACCTTTTCCTCTCCCACCTCGAGTCATTTCCTATTCCCTTCCTTCCTTCCTATCTAACTTCGTGACTACCCATTACCTTGGCCATAACCTTTAGAGGAACAAAATTCTTACAAAGTACAAGTAACCAATTACCCGAACTTTCTTTTGACGAACTTTGTCAGNAGCCCAATCAGATCTCAAAAAACCATGATTGATTACCGGTAGTCCCATGAACGAAGTGGAACGGAACCTTCAGCTGTTGAACTGCTTTTCCTCTCCCACCTCAAAACATTCCCTATTTCCTTCCTTCCTTCCTATCTAACTTCGTGACTACCATTACCTTGGCCATAACCTTTAGAGGAACAAAATTCTTACAAAGTACAAGTAACCAATTACCCGAACTTTCTTTTGACGAACTTTGTCAGGTGACTGGACGGGCCAGTTTGATGATACATCAAAATTCATGGCATTCCTCTACAAATTTTTCAGTGACCGCCGATTTTTCCCGTACGTTTTGGTTCACGAGATCGGTCACGCATTGGGTCTTCAGCATGCGAAAAAGCAGGAGGCAATCATGCATCCATTGTATAAAAACACTCCTCTCGATGAGCTCAAACTCGATCTGGACGATAAGTGTGCTATCAACTGGAATTACGGTAAGACCATCATCTTACCTAAGCCGTCTTGGCTTTTTCCACCTTCTAATGAGGATTCTTGGCTCCGCATATGATCACAGCATGCTCCATTCTCAGAAGTTCTTCCAAAAAGTCATTGTTGTGTTTGGAAACCTGTCAAAAATTCAAGATTCCGTCACAAATCTCCCTTGACCAATCACCCACGCATGGTCCGGGGATCTTGTCCCGGCTTGTTACCCGCCCAGGCCAGTAAAGTCTTCCATTCCTGTGGGGTTGCTTGAATAGTACAAGATTCATCTGATATGATAAAAGCATGACTTATACACCGGCAGGCCAGCGAAAGTCATTGTATAGGCCTCATACACACTCAAAACGCCATTACGATTCTGAATGGGAATCGAGTGTGGGAGCGTATCCCAAACCCATCACACACCTACGAAGAAATCAGAAATCAGGGACATTGGAGGTTTTGCCCGAAAGACGTGTAATTTATTTATTAATGAAATCAAGGTTACCAAGCAGTGAACACATTCTTTTTAGATTAAATAGAGCGAAAAATGAAATTATCTCTATTTTTGAAGATTTTTAAAAATTCTTTTTTTGGCTAGTGGCCAAAAAAATTAAATCCAACTTGAAATCTTATAAATCTTTACAATTTATCGAGTTTTGTTTCTCAACCCTACTTAGAGGTAGAACTTAGTCCTCGAGGTGAAGCCCCGTAAAGCTGGGATCGAGATACTCAGGAACCAAACCTGATCGGTTTTTGTTTTAAATTCCTCTCATAATCCTGAACAGTCCGAACAAGGGTTCCTGGTTGGAATGTCTATTTTTCTTCCACATTGGGCTTCAAAAGCTGTTCCGGAGCCGTTGCCTAAGACTAAAGTTTTTTTTTGCTGCCCGAGCCACTTCCCATCGAGCCGGTGGATTCATGCAAGAGGAGAAACCTGTTTACCTTTTTTGATTGAAGAAAAACGAAAAATCAGGACGGTCATACGGTTCATACAGTAATCCGGCTGAATTCACACTCGAGTGAAATTAAGGTTATGCCGTAAAACGAAAAATGTTGTCTATGGAGTTTTGCGTTAATTGTATTTCAATTCACGACAATATTTCACTGTAATAACCTAGTTCCCGTCCCGAATCATTAAGGTTATCCCCAACGAGTGAGTGGTGAATGGGATTGTAGCCCCAGCCATAACTGCATACCAAATACCTAAGTAAATTTGGTTTACCAAATACCTAAGTAAATTTGGTAGGCGTGATTGAAGAGCTCCGGTATACCGAGCATTTTCATGATACCGACACATTTCAGTAGGGACGAAATAGAAGGCTGTCTAGAACTTGTTCGGGAATGGATGATTGCAATAGCCTAGCCTCTGTGTCTTGTGTTGCAGTGGGAACATCGAAATACTGTCTATTCGTATGGTTGATGAGCGAAATCGTACCAATCCACAACAATTCCGATCAAATGGCGTCCAGCAGTAAGTGAGGATTGGAAATGGTTTTGTAGTGGTTTTTAAATGCAAAAAAAACCCTCCCTTTGATTGATCATTTCACACCCTTCTAATCGGACACCATTCAGATCATCTGAACAATAGCCCGAAACATCGAATTAAGGCTGCCAAGCGAATTCTAAAACGTAAGTCACCGATTTTCTGTTCGATTCTTCTTATTACTAGCACTTATTGCAAATGTTCGGCCACAGTCGATTTCTATATGGAAACTACACCTTCCATTAGCACCTCTTCACATGGCCCTAGGGTACCTCCTCCTGGGTCACCTACTACTATCAGAGGCAGTTAGAATTAGAGATTTTGCTGTAACCCTTGAGAAAACTATACTTTTTAAGCATATTTTTAGCATTAAGTAAGTATTTTAAGAATATTTTCCAAAAGTGCACGTGTCTGTTTGATCGTATGGGCCGTCAGGTACGGTAAGAAAGTGCAACCCCTACCAGTTCGGGAAGACTGGTAAATTTTGAATGTCACTGGGTACAGGCAAGGTAGTAGGTGACCCTGCATGAAAACGAAGGGGCTGCTAGTCGCCTTGATGATTCTTTCCCTACCTCACGTTCTGTCGTACTCTGCCATCCCTTCTAATACCTACGTCCTATTTAGCAACTAAGCCTCCAAAATGGTTAAGGGCACAGGAGCATACCCACATTAGTTTCTAATTTAACTGCCACGGTCCGTTTGAGCCTCCTCAGATTTACTAGAGGGGATCATTCAGTTTATAAATTGGAAGACATCTAACTAACTAGTTAGATGTCTTCTGATTGGACATAAAATCACATCCTTTCCTGCGAAAAAGTCCTTCCTGCCCTCCTTCCACCCTTTTCCCGTTCGTCGGACAAGAATGTGAAACTCTTATTTTCAGTTGTGTACTTTTCAGAAACTCGAATTCCACGATGTCTTGCTTCGAACGATATACAATGGCAGATAGAAGCTAGACTACAAAAATTTTTACATTTTCCGCCGGTGGAATCAAAAACATACAGTAAGTTCTTTAAAATAATTGATTGATGGCAGTACTTGTTTACAGTTAAGTGAAGTAAATATTTACAACTTTTAGGTGAAGTATTATGTAATTTTCTGTTGGGCTTGCACGCGTATAGAGGTAGCCCCGACTATGTATCTAGCGATTCGCTCGAGAAAGAGTTCAATGGAGTGATGAAGGAAGTAAGTTTCCCCGGAAAAACAGCCTCTTTAGGGTTCCAAGCCTTATTTTTCCTTTAAGGTTTCCGAATTTGGCCCGGTGTCATCGGCATCTGTTCGGCGAATGGCACGTGGGGCTCGGAGACGGCTCGAGCATGGTCGACCTTCCGTTTTAGGTTTGTTACCCATTCCCATCTGTTTTTGTTCGTTCATCACCAACCACTCACTCTGTGAGCACTTTTCAGATCCTTCCTATTTCAACGAGAGATTCTTTAACAAATTTCTTCCCGAATACTTACAACTACAATAGCAACGGCTCACCAATATTCATATAATCCAGTAGCATACATAATCGGGTATACTTTCCCCCGGGTTTCCTCTGCGCGTTCCCGCCCAGTGGTCCTTCCATAATTGTTGAACGAGGCAGCAGTCATCATCGTTGAACTCCACATCATATGTATCCTATTTTATTCTTACATCCTCCTCATTCTATGCACAATTCCTTTGTTTGATATTCTTTTTCTTCTTCTTCTGTAATTAATTCGTTCGTTCCAAGTAATCGTTAGGGCTGCTGGTCAGGTTCCCCAATACCGTCTCCATTCGGCCCTACCAGCCAACCGGTGGGGCCTAATGAGATGTCGTCGTTATTTCGAATTCGTTCTTATCGGTTAGACTGGTTAGCTCTTGGTCCCAGTTAGTTCCTATTAGTTTCCCTCCTCCATTGTTCCTTATATGCTACTTTTTCCTTCCTCTACAGGTTGTTCAATGTGCAATCATAGTATTCAATGTGCAATCGCCCTAACTGCGACTGTGTGTGTGAATGTATTTTATTATGCGAAAATTTAGGTACATCTTGATTTTCTTTTTACCGTCAATTGGTATGTGCGTTGTGCATTTTGTGCCGATTGTTACTGTTTGACTAGCGAAATAAAAGAGTTTTATGCGTTTATAGTCACACACACATGCGAAGCTGATAGCAGTTAGCTGGGCAAACCATCAGTCGTCTGGTGCATTCCAACCATAACGAGTGAGGATCTTGTTGGCATTGTGGATATATTCGCGTTGAGCCTCGACCTTGCTTTTCCCAACCAATTTCTTCCATTCCTCTGCACATTCGTCCGATTCGTCACCATCTGAACTCTGACATTTCTCATCGCTTAAAACCGCCATTTACGTCGACGATAAAGACATCACACCCTGAACGAATAATCCGCTGAAGTGGCAAATGCCGTCTTCCGCTAATTCGGAGACGTTCCCGGTCGAAGTTTGATCAGAAGCTCGAAAATGACAGAGAATAAGCCATGGAAATTATCCGTTGGAGGGTTCTAGCATCCTTGATCTTTCACTTCAAAACCTTCACCGACCTTATATGATTTCCCAGATAGGGGGTAACTGCATAGAATTAGCTGATGAAGNACATTCCGTCAGAAATTTGTTTGTTACCTTTTTTATATATGTTTTTCTGTCCTTATGGGAAGCCACTTGGAGCAGGTGGAAGGAGGGAGTTGGGTAACTGGGTAAATTCCGGAGGAATATCTGAACGCCCCTTCTTTCAGCAACGTCAGGCTTGCATATGGCCTTTAAGGCATTCGAACTAATTTTTTAGATATGGCTCCCCTACGAACAGAGTGGTTTGCTTTCACTGAGGAGAACACTTTTATCCTCAAAAAGATAGAAAAAGATGCACTCAATTTTTATATTATCTTTAACTTTTTCAAAATTTCAGTCCCCTTCATATCACAACGTAGACGAAATAAACGAATCATTAATCTTATATGGCTCTACATATTCCAAAAAAATGAAAAATATATTTGGACCATATTGGTCATTTTCAGTTTAAGAAAAAAGATTGAATAGACTGCTTAGTAAGCCCAAAACATTAAATTAGAAGAAACCAAAGGTCAAGGGAAAAGATTCCCTGACAATTGAGATGACAATTGAGAAAGCTAAAATATCAAAATGGGCTGATATGTTTGAGGCAGGATATGATTTACTATGAATAGCTGCCCACGTAATCTTATCGTAATCTTATAAGATAAACTGCGAAAGTTAAGCCTAAGCACTCATCAACATTATCCGGATACGTTTGGCCTCTGAGCTCATTCACTGGATTAGTTACTCAAAAAAGAACTATGCGTGCAAAATGAGATGTGTTCTATGTCCAAAAAATCCATGAAGACTGACGCAACGTACCGTAATCTCCAACGGTAACTTGTTTGTATAGTGCTTCCATGAGGATCTTGTCTTCCTTTGGAACCTCATAATGGCCGTACTCTCCCTTGTACCCTGCACGACTCACTTTGTACACCGCGTCAGCAAAATCCTTGAAAAAAAACTGCATCAAAAGTGTCTTCGGTTCTACTTAGCACTAAGTGAACGCTATCATCACCGCTGATGGTGCCTACGATTAGAGTAAAGCCGATTTTCGTAAGTCAATAGGCATAATTAAATGGCATTGTTTGTTGAGTAAGCAATCGGCGAATCTGACCTCACTTAGAGGTCAAGCACCGTGCGAGTTGAAGAGCAATAAGGAAGGGACAGCCGCTTACCTTGTCTCTCCAGAGGTCTTTATCGTCTTGATGACGTCGTTCCCAATAGGCCTTGAACTCACGAGCTCTTTGCTGCGACTCGATAAATTCCATTTGCCATTTTTCCCATCTGAAACTCACGAGTCACTCAGAATCGAGTCATACTGACGAAATACAGTTCTACCTCTGTTTCTGAACAAGTGCCTCCTTCAACTTTTCCTGCTCGAATTTCTCCTCCACCTAAAACGTTTTGATGTAATTCTCACTCAACAGCGGCTTATTGTGAGCGGATAGACAGCGCAATGAAGGAGTAGCGTGGTCAGCGATAAAAATCGCATCTTTTAGATCGACCACTTCGAACGTTTTTTATGTTATCCCACGAGCCGACTGGCTATGTAGCGCGTCCAACCTAATTCGGAGCGACTTTTCCGCTCAAAACGTGGGGGTCTTTCATCAATTTCTCGCAGGTCAAGGCGACTGGCTCTTGACTAAACGAACACAAACATCATTCGAATGAATTATGGTTCGCGGATTAGAAGGAGAAACGAGTCGTCGACGCAGATAACAGTAATATAGAAAGATACAAGACAGAAGTTTTGCTAGAGAATGGATTCAATCGCGTTTAAAGTTATTCGGAGATACTGAACAAAAATCATAAAACTTGATAACATAGATAACAGATGAACATTAAATGTTATCGTAATCTTAATAAAAACAAATAATCGGAAGCATTACATAAGATGTCATGAATGGTTTCCCCAGATTAGGATAGCTTTGTGGAACTCGCTCATTAGCTTTCAAAAATCATATCCTGCAGAATTTTTTCGAAATGCAGCAATCGAAAATTCGAAGTGCGTGTCTTAGGACCAAATAAAATGTACTGATAAGTAGCCAAGTAGCACCAGCCAGCCAAGGAACTCCTCGGTTTTTTCTTACAGATCTATCTCTCCATCTAATAGTAAAGCGAAACTGTTGAATAGCTTGGGTAAACAAGTAGTAGAGCAGAAATCTGGAAGTAAACAGCCCTTAATGCGAAAGCCATTATCACTACGGACACAAACGCCTGCTCTTCTACTTCTCAAATCCCATGCCCTCCTTTCTTGAATTCAAAAGTAGTACGAACACTTACCCCCTTTCAACTTATGAAAAGCAGAATGTTTGTATCTCATGCCTTTTAAGGCTATTATAGAATGTTATGTGAGCGGATGAATCAAAATGACGGCAGTAGCTGGGGGCATACTAGGCCACCCATGGCTTCTAGACCCACAGATCAAATTTTTAGTAGTCTGGCGACAACTTAGTGTCAGCTAGTTGATAACACCTATTCGTGAGTTCAAAACACCACCCCGAGCAGCGGTTCTCTTTCAAGGCTTACAAAGATTACTCAAATGAAAAAGTAAACTGTTTTAGGACATTGAAATCCTAAATACTTTTTGATATTAGCTCGCAAACAGATAGTACGAATACCTTTCAATAGCAAATCGCTAGAAAAATGAGTACTTTCAAAGTATAATGCGGCAAAGCAAACCTCTTTCCATCGTGCAGAAACGGATTCTTCGTCAGACATCGGCAAGAAGTCGTCAGATCAGTCGAGCACCAAACACAGATTGCCGGCTGTCTCATCCTTGACTATTTCCAAATAGGCTGCAATCTCAAACCGCGGCTACTGTAATGGACTCCGCATGAATTCCATCTTTCTTGCTGGCTCTATGCAACCATATGGAAACATATCGTCGAGTCGAACAGAAAAAAACTTCATGGTCAGCTTCCAAAACAAACAACACAATGGTATAATGTGCAAAAATGAAATGTACCAGTACAAAATTAATCAATGAGGTCTCTCAGCAATAACTGAACCATTGACTACTTTACTACGTATGAACAATCAACAGGAGGTTATCTTTACCAAATACACCGACTGAANNNTGAAGATATGAGCTCACGACTGCATCTCTTCGTCAATGATCTCATCCATGTCACATTCGACCGTCATCGCTTCTGGAGTTTTCTTCTGGAATGCCACTTCTTCGACTGAAGGAAGCGGTTTAAGCGACGATGCTTCGCCCATTTCATCCTTTCCGGTGCTCTTTTCCTTCTCCATCTTCATCAATTCTGCTAGCTAAATGGAAACCGTATACTGACATTTCTGAAGCGGAAATGTAAAGATCCATTAGACAATCCATTAAATTTCACTGCGTATAAAACTCCAGAAACCCTAGGTTCACTTCATGTCGGAAGTCAATACGTTCTACGTATATTTGCAAACCGCTAAACTTCAGCTGAAGTTTTGTAACTCTATTTTTCAATTAGTTCTATTGAAGTTTTGCAATGGCTCTCCCGAAGTCTGACTTTTCCAAAATGAAAACTCACTGTTCTTAGGTACCTATGAGAAATCCAGATCCCAAAGGTGCGGAACACAAAAACTATAAGACTTCCGTAGCAATGTGATGGAAAGCGACACAGTCAGATGCATGCATTAAACCGGAATCGAAAGCTCTCCTCTGTCATTGACCGATCTGAAGCCGGCCATAGAAAAAAAGCTCCTGGCGTATTCCAAGTGAATGGAAATCACGTAAATTTCTGTCTATTGTGTTGAAAAGATCGGTGATCACACAACTGAAAGAGGGCTTCTATTGAACTGGTTAAGGTTCATAGTTCGCGTGGACCTTTCGAGAGCTCAAGGTTCGGGAAGCCTTTTCCTGGAAATCTTTTCTTTTCTTCGCAAGAAGAAAGGACGGGCTATGTAGTCACTCGTTTCAAAATGTAGAACGTTCTTCTAATATTATTGTATTAGTACTAGGAGGGTTTATAAGTTTTGGAAAGCAGTGCTGGGAAGGCATAGAATATTGCCTTATGAGAAAACAGCGAGAAGTACACTCAACTAAATATCACTCTGCTAAGCTATACCAAGGAACATGGGAGAAGACCTTAAAATGGGAAGTCATTCACGATTCTCGTCGAAGCCTTGCATATGGTGACATGATTCCATTGTCTACAAAGGACCAAAAGGCTAAGTCTCCCTAAGAGACAGCTGTTAAGGAGACCCGCATTCCAGTAGATAGCCCTGACAGCCGTAAACACCACCCTACCGTCTGTAGTTGCTCTGCAGTTGTTAAATGTTAGACCTTTCCCTTCTCCTCTCGAAATCATAAATGCAACCTGCCCCTGAATCGTTCCCACATTCGCTCGTATTTCCAGCGGTACGCGGTAAAGAAATGGCTTAGCAATTCTATTGATCGGGCAACGTTAACGACTACTATGGATTCATTCTTTTTTTTTGCCTTGCAACAGCTAATAAGAATTTGTATTTCATCCTTTTTCAATATTTTATGAGAAACCTAAAAATTTTGAGATACTTTCCTAAAGCTGCTGTCTCAGTTGATGATTGTTAAAAGTTAACGAGAGAAATTCTTAATTCAACTTTAACTTGCTTCCGTTATGAAATGCGAAGATCTCATTATCTTCAGTGAAAACCCTACTTTCTACAAAATATACCATGAGCAGGAACATGTGGGCAGTGCGGAGCTACGCCCACGAGGTGAGGAACATGTACAGGAGTGGGCTGTTCAATGGGCAAGACTTCATAATTTGCTAACAGCCCACACGCCAGGGCAAATTGAGCAAAGGTGAAGGTTGGGTTTAAAAAATGAAGGGCACTCGCACGAGATGGGTGATGAGTCCTCACTGCGGGCGATATTTATAGATAAGATTATAACCATATGAAATGGAAGCCTGGAGCCCAGATAAAAATGGAAAGAGTGGGCTAGAGCTAATATTTACTTGGTATCCGAGCATTTCGTGGAGCTGTCTACGAAGATCTTGTATTCGAATGAATGGTACTTTTCCAAAAGAAACAATATAAATCTGTTCAGAAACGTTCTAGAATGCAGGAAAAAGAGATTGAAGGTCATCGGAAAAAGTCGGAAAGGTTGGAAACCTTCACAGTGGGAGGTGGGTGGGGGGAGGGGGGGAGGGCAGAGCAGTAATTCACGGATGTGCCCAAAGGCGTTAGTAACGTTCCAAAATCTTTATATGAAGCCATCATGACCGCTTGCTACCTATGAAATCATGAAGTATAAGCTATAAGCTTAGCGGCTTTTGTGTGCTCTTCGACTATGTTTCTTTGTCCATTTCGCAAGATTCATCATATTTGTTTACCTTTGTTACACTACTTTAAAAATGAAGCGCGCATGTACGCATACTACAGATGGTGGATGGTGTGAAGAAGTAATGGTGAAAAAAGATATTTAAACGACGGTATGACCATGAAGAGTTCTCCAGTTTTCATATCACTACATATTGATCCCTTTTCCATCACTAAAAGAGTGGAAGAACCGGGAAATTTTCAATGGAAAAAAACCTTGTAATCAAAAATCCCACCTTTGCTATATCATTTGCAAAGTTGTTGCGACCTTTCTTGCGAGCCCGCAACATTTTTCGTGTTTCTCGCTTAGTTTCGGTGAAAACTTGCTTCTGAAACATATGCGATACACGAAAAAACATCATTTGAACATCGCTGTAAAGCTTATGACACCATTATGGCGAAGGAAGCTCTAGAGAAGCATAACTAAATTCAACCTTCACATCCTCAGGGACATCTGGATCCAATTTGAACAGTGAAATGAAGACGCCACCAGGTGTGCGTCTTCGCTGTCCGTTTTCAATCTTAAGAAAAATTGAGATGTTTGCAAATCAATGTGTGTACAAAATCAAACATGCCATCATTCCGCCTGTCGACTCGACCTTCCGCGTCTCTTCAAAAAGTGTTATTGCCTAAACAACGGCATTCGATGATTTCAATGTCAATCGAGCCGAAAGCTTATGGAAATCAAGAGACCTTCTCCACACCACAAGCGTGCACTATGCTTTTCACTGTTCTGGGATCACGTTCACCCATTGCCTTTGCTATCTCGTCACCAAGTTGCTCAACTGATATATCAGAGGCAAACTCTACAGCCATCAATGTCTCAAGAGAATATGAAGCGGTAAGTAGCTGTCCAGGATCGCTGACCTGAAACTAAGTATCGAAGCAATGCCAAGGGAGAAATAATTGATCGGGACTTACTTTTCCTTGCCATGAGCGTTTAAGTCCATTGCCACGTCCTCTTCCAGGAAAACCGTATTGAACACTCCCACGAGCTCGACCTCGAGGACCTCTGCCACGACTGGTGGTTGGATGAGAAAAAGATTGACCTTAATGTAAAGATTCGAAAAAGAATAATAGAACAAACCACTGAGAAGAAATTATTGATTGCAAAAAATACTGAAAAAATACCTGCTCGATGGAGCGTGCTACGCACTGTATCACGAATACGAGAAGGATTTATGCTGTCCGAAAGTCTTTCACAGTAGGCAGTTTCGCAGTCGAGATCAATCGGGGCGTCGCCAAAAAGATCATCATCAATCTGAGCCTTTGCACTGCTCTCCGCAGATTTGCTGTACTGAAGCATCAATGTAACAGCTAAGGAAATAGGCTATAAAACAAGTCGGTAAAGCCTAAAACATGATGTTTATTTGATCTCACATTCTCACTAATACTAAATTATGTCATATAACTACTATGACAAAAAAAAAACATATAAACACCGCTCAACAGCTACTGAGGTAGACATAGCAAGGCGCGTATGGGGAGGACTTTGACAAATAAATAAATAATAGGGAATCTTCCAGAGGCATACTATGACTCAGCAAAGTCAAAACTACTGGTAATCATGCATAACTCACCGATTCGAAATCCTCCTTAGCGACGCGAACGAAGGTGGAGGGGATATGATACGATTCGACCCCACGTGCAACTCTTCCATCGGCCTTAACAACTCATTCGAGCACAATGCACATATAAAAAAGTTATTTGTGGAGTACACACATTTTTCTTGTCTAAGGAGATACGAGATCCTTCCTTCTCAAGACTCTGCTCCACCAAAGCATCTCCCCAAAGGTTCGCTGCTCGTTTGGCGGCAGGACCCTGATCCTCCTAAAAGAATACGGTGTCATAAACAGACTAAATTATTCAACCGAAGAAAATTATATTTTTCTGAAAGATTTTATTTGGCCGTGCTCCGCGATTCAATGAGGGTTTGATTGAAAGCTCACCCAAAAGAGTCGCAACGTGGATTTCTTTGAAATCAGTAGCCTATAGGATATAATCTTCGAGTTACATTAATTTTGCCATCATCCTTCAGCAGTGAATGGGACTACAAAAGGTAGCAGTATGACAAATTGCTTACTCCACATCTGAGGAACCAAGAAAACGTAGACCACGAACCTTCCCCACACCTGACGAAGGTCACCTTGTCTATTCAAACAAGCAAATACATACGAGCCCAAATAAAAAGCAACTGAAAAGCTAGTAAAGAATACCATACAAAATCAGCAACTAGGGAACATGAACGAAAACATCCTCTCAAACTTTCCGTTTGTCCACACAAGCAATATTTCCCAAATAAATTTGACTTCCTCTCCCATTGAAAACAAGGGAAGGATCACAAGTGAATAATGCAAGAATTCTGACCAGGCACACTATCGGACGAGCTTTCCGATATTCATCTTAGGCATGCTTTTGAAATATGCGAGACGATATCTAAAACGAAGCTGAGATAGAGCCTTTATCGCATGTCATTGCAGTCAAACGCTACATGGGTCTCAGATTGGTGGGAACTGCATAAATGAAGTGGTAATTCCACCACTAAACATATGATCTTCATCACGAGTGCCGGGCGGATTCGAGGTACTTGTGTTTAAGGAAGTTTTTGTTTTTCAATTCCGACCAGAACCTACTTCAATATAACCGAATGTGCAGAATTATCTGGAGCTACGACTGCAAAATTCACAATAACGGCACTGACTGTTAGAATTAGAAGTTTTTTTTTTTGAATGAAACTAATTCCTCGGAAGAAACAGCGAGAAAAAAACATAAGTCAACACGGCCCAGACCACTATTTTTGTTAGTAATCGAGCAATCAAAAAAGCAAACCTCCTCCTCTATTTCATGAGTATCAAGTGGTAGACTATCATCCTCATTACCCGACGAATCCGAATCTACAATAACGTCACATACCAAACAGGATTTTCAATGCTCTGCGACATTATCTCTAATAACCATAACTTTTACTCTCACCTTGCTTTTTTCTTCTGTAATCCATTCTTAACCTGAACAGTGGTCCATACAGCTAAGTAAAAGAGCAGGTTAGAAAGTTAAACATATCATATGGATAAATAAAATAAAATGAGCAAAACAAAATCAATAAGAACGGTTTGCGAACCGATAAATAAATGCTTTCCAACAAAACATGTGAAGAATCTGTATTCCGAATCCTTTCAGACTCTGCTAATGCTCACACAAATATATCTACAAAAAATATGTATAGTACAGCATTGTGTTCATAAAACGAGTACAACACTAGTCGACTGCGGTGTAAAAGCGAACGAGGAGGTAACACGTAGACATACATACAACGTAAAAACTATCAAGAAAAGCACATATGAACTGTTATCCTTTGTTGTGAGTATTTCCCCAACCACGTCGGTGATCGTCCTTGTACTCATCCCACCTCATCAACCTTGCTCTCTCCCTTTCTTCAGCCTCTTCCGTGTCAATCTCTCCAGAATGACTGGCTTTGGAATCACTCAAAAGGCATTACAGTTATTACATTAGTTGTAAGATGCCGATGATCGTGATAGAACAAACTAATAATAAGACATACTTATTGTCTGGTTGGTGTTGTTGTTGTTGTGCCGATGAAGCGCCACCGAACCGTTGGTTGTACCATTCGTCTACGGTCATAGTGGGAATGGAAGGATATCCGAGACCAAAGACAGCTTTTTGCTGTTCCGAACGTGTAATTATGAATGGTCGTAGCGGTGCTGAAGGTGGATATTAGAATTCAGAAACATTCAACCACATGCGTAAATATATAAGGGAGCTATCAACAATGGAGGGCAGCTCCTTTTCCTATCTACCTGGCTTCTTATCATCTTTTTGCAACGACTTTTCTGCTGGCGCTGGTTGAACATTTCCTTTCATTCGTGCTTTCATCATTTCAACGAGAGGTAGCTCATCTAGAAGCAAAATCTATACTGACCACTTGTAACACTGTCACTGCTAACACAAAAAGATCTTCGTTTTGCGATTTTCGGCTTTTTTTTTNTTTTTTTTTCTTCTTCAAGGAATATTCTAGAAACCCAGGTAAACCCCATATAGAACATTACAATTTCGAAAAAAAATACACGAATGAATAACCTTCGATCGATTCAAGTTCTTCGATGACTTTCCCTTGCCAATATTTCACCACAGCCAGATGAAGATTTCTCTTAGAAATTTTCCCATTATCAGCAACAAAATTATTATGTAATGATAGCATGAAATCCGTGAAAAAAAAGAATTAGTACTAGAATGAATTCATCGCCGCTATTCTGCTCACTGAGCCTCTTCAACTCATCCATGGTGTTTTTCAATTCTCGCTGCTTTCGAAATCGAGCAATCTTTCGCTCTCGTTGTTCTTCTCCAGTGAACTTCTTTATTCCGGCACGGGAAACATCAGTTGATTCTTCTGAAATCATGAATCGAGTGGGCACATGAAAAAGACTCCTTAAAAAACAACTGAGAGACTATATTGTATACTCGTAGATTAAAACAACTTTGTGGCCCCAAAATACTTTTAGTAAATGAAAAGAATAACTAATGACTATGCGGGATGAAAACATAGTTATAACAGTACCAGCACTGCATGAATCTATGTGTGTTGAGAATTCAAAACCCAGTTTGATTGCAAACGTTCGAAATTACCATTCTCTCCATTGATGAGAAAGTCTTTGCTATCGAACTCGAAACCATAACTGCGAAGTCGCTTCAAGAAATCGAGGTAGTAGACCTTAACTAGGAAAAGCCTTGTGTAATTATCATGACGATCTCAGAAGTATACAATAGCGTAGTTGTTGAGAACTCGAAAGGCACCTTTTATGCAACTCTCTGCTATTCTACACGATAGATAAGTCTTAAAGAAAACATAAAAAAAGAAAACGTACCTTAGCCAATTGCAGTTGGTCGGCACGGTGGAGGGGATCTGTTGTAGTATTATGATGGGCAACACCGAGGTAGCAAGGAATGAGAAGAAACGGGATTGAAGACGTAGGTAAATCTTCCACCTGTAATCACAGACTATTACTGCATTTTTCGAATCCTAACAATGTAACTATCTCAGTATTGGCGGAAGGGTCAGCAATGCTTTGATTGGTCTCGAAGTCGCTTATTTTTGTGCTCTTGTAAGCAATGTCAAGGGTGAAAGTGGAGGCAATTACCTACCAACGTGAAGTCCAACGTCCCTAGTCGCCCTAATTCCCTTACCTCTTCATTATCGGAAAACAATCCAAGTGAAGAGACGGCGCGAGTGAGGTTCTCAAGAATGCAGACGGTTTCCGAGACGCGAGTCTGAATGGTCAGTTTATCTTGCTGCCTTTTCAGTCACTACATTATATAAGTCAGCATTGAACCCTCAAATTAAGAATCGGAAGAATTCATTTGAGTCTTTTTTCCAGCTCAGTTGAAGACCCTATTTCGTTTGAATTCATGTTCAGTTTTTTTTTTTTACGATAAATCAAAGAGTGCACAATGCTTAGAAAAGATGAGTCAATAGCGGGGAAGATTCATACAGAACCATCTTCAGTGTACGGCGAAACCTTGACAGCGATCGCGGCGTAATTTCTCACAATTTTGGTAAAATTCTGGCTATGTCTGACACATTTTAAACGTTTTCAGTTTGGTGTAGTAAACCAAAATTTGGAAATTTCGATTACAGAAAAATAGTTCCATCTATTAAGATCTGCAAGAGATCTATTAGAATCGCTTCAGACAAACGACGCATTGTAAACAGATGTATTATTCGAAGTTTAATGCCAGCAGCTGAGACTAACTAATATACCTGTAAGTCCGCAGCCGAAAATCTACCACTTTCGATGTCATTTACGACATCNATAGTTCCATCTATTAAGATCTGCAAGAGATCTATTAGAATCGCTTCAGACAAACGACGCATTGTTAAACAGATGTATTATTCGAAGTTTAATGCCAGCAGCTGAGACTAATTAACATACCTGTGAGTCCGCAGCCGAAAATCTACCACTTTCGATGTCATTTACGACATCTTCAGCTTTCCTGAATTGTTCCGACAGCGTTTCCTCGTTGTCGATATCGTGATTAGATTCGTTTTCGGGCATCTAGAATATGAGCTGTACCACGAATTTGGCACCAGTGGACCGCGTAGCCTAGTCTTTAGGTTACGGTTGAGAAAGGCACGACCTGTTCGACGATTTCAAGAAAAATGTATACCCAAAAGGCTTCATGAATGTCTTCTACAATGCGATGTGTATAGATTACTAATTCTACCATCAAACGAATAATTGGTTCAGCCAATATTGGGAATACTTTCTGAACCAAATGTTCAATGTTTTTTTTACAAGTTCTTGCGATTTATTATAACAATCCGGTTTATGTGCAAAGCAGTCACGTGCGATCGCTCGAGTAAGTGTGGCAAAAGTTTACACTGAAGTTACAAAAAGCTTCGACATGACATTGCTGTCATTAATTCAAAACCTGACGCGGTCGAGGAGTTCGAGAAAGGGGAACATATTGCTAGCATCCGCTGTCTACAATACACCCGTAGTACCGCTATACTTAGTACAGAACACAACCTTTTGTACTGAGTTTCTCTAGCTTAACACGATGCCGTGTCGGATTATATTATATGTGAACAGAATATACGAAAAAACACGGTATGCCCGAACAACCGACTGGCAACAACAATTCCACACAAGTGAGATTTGCTAGAGTCACTCCGTTTCGCAGTACATCAAGAAATCAGGAGCACAGATGACTGGGAGATCCGAAATGAAGCATGAGAAGTCATTCAGAAGGAGGGCACGTAAAACATCCTCTGTGTAATTTAGGATAGGTACGGTAATAAGGTGGTGGAAATTTGAAGCGGAACTTTTCTAAGGAGCTCGAGGGCCATACAAATCATGAGGCTTTTCATCAATCGTTATATGACAGGTTACATGTTCCAGCCTCTTGGAAGTCACTATTTGGAACGTAGACATGCGTTGAACTCGATTCATTTGATCTTACGGCCTCGTCCTTAAGTGATCCTCGCCCTTTAGTGATTCTACGAAGCGAAACAAACTGGATAAATTACTGAAAATAAGCGAAAAGAAGAAATATGCTTCATCATTGTCCAATGATTTACATGTTTTGGAAGATTCTTCTCCTGCTCTCGAATCTTCGACCTAGTCGTAACGTACTTATCTCATTTCGCCTGAGGAATGGGGCCTCAGCAGGGCATTCCAGAATAGGTGACGGGAGGTCATATGAGTTGTGAATATCTATACGGGAAATGGGGCCTAGAACATATATAATTCTCAGGGGGCTGAAACAGAAGGGCTCAAACTTCCCCTTCATTTTCGAAACTAATTCATGAACACCCAGTCGTTGATAGGGCGATATTTCCTGTCCGCTGACACTCCGGACTACGACAACTGAAAATTTTGCTACCGACATAAAATAAAGCATAGCGAGCGCGAAAAACAAGAGGTAATACAAGTCTGATTGTGAGGCTTAAGAACCAAAACTCGAATGGAAACGCCGTCAGCTAAAAAGCACTATGTGTATTACACATTCTGCTTTCGTGCTACGCCTTCGATCATAAATTGTTTTTCGTTTCAATATTTTCCAGCTAATAATCCCTAAAAGACCCATAAAATAGTAAGCTTTAATAGAAAAATATTGCTAGGTGAGGAAGGCAGAATAAAGAACGGCTTTAAGGACTGTTTGAAGCAATTTCGAGCCTAGAATGGAGAAATAAAGAGGGAAAAGGGAGGAATGGTCTCAGGTAGAGAGGAGGATGCAACATTAGTTTGTGAAATAAAGTTTCGAGAAGAGCTTGTCTATCCTTTTGCTTTTTATTATTCGATTCCTTGTTAGTTGGCCTTTGGTAATTTTCCTTTTGCCTGTTTTGTTTCCATATTGACTTTGTATCTCTCGCCTAATCTCCTTGCTTCAGGTATTGCACCTATTCAGGCTACTATATGGTTGGGGGTGCTGCTGCATTCGCGATATACGACCGTGATGTACGTTACTACCATATTGTAATTTTATTTATCAATTTAACTCTTTCCGTCCTCGGACTGGTTTTTTTTTTAAAGATTTTCCCTAGCGTCACTCATAATTTTTTCCGCTGAGAACCTCTTAGTCATACTGGGCTGCTTGACATTCTGACATAGCAATGTGAGCGTAAGGCACACTAGCCCACGTTGGTTTGGAGTGGACCCCGTCAGGGTGTTGACTTATTCCCAAGGCCTGTGTTCTACTTTTTGAGACATTCAAGCAGCACATCAATGATAGAAAAGTAATCGAATTCAGTGGGGCAGGTGCTCGGGAAGATTACTTCCAATGAAAGCCAGTCGGCTATCACCTAAACTGGTTGACGGATTCTTTCTTTCAATTGAATCTAAGCAAAAGCAAGGCGTTTCGAGATCTCATCACTTAGTAGAACCACTTTTCTTCTCAAAACATAACAATTTTAGCATTTGCGGTTATTGAATATCATAAACGATGCTCACCAGAAGAATAGCTATGATTTGGAACTATTTATACACTGTTCATTGGATATAGTAGATGAGAAAGCAGTGAAAGCTAATGAGATGTTCCTTGGTCATCTCTATACGGATCAGAAGTACAAGGTATATCTTTTAAGCCCTTGGTCTTTGAGCATTTAAAGATAATCTCGGCTCTGTTCAGCCATTTCTGTAACTTCTGTGAATGGAGGAATAGTTTTCTCCGGAAATTTATTTTTAGTAAGGGTTTCTTAGAGGGTTGATACCGATTGTGCGGCAAGCTTTTAAGAGAGCTGTCATCCTTAGATTCATGTCATTTTGGACTAAGATGAATATGAAACGGTATCAGGGCCTTTAACAGCGCCTTCTACGTAGAGGTCACTAGAAATGCAAAAAAAAAAATCTGAACAGTTTTTTATTTAACAGGATTAGGAGTTACTATAACCTAACGGTGTCATTGGATAGTTACTATCAAACTACGGCTCATATTTAATGTTTCAAAACTTTTCAGTCCTTCGGTTTTATTACGAATACCGGTGTACGGATGATTTTGGTGCTTGAAGCCAACAATCTCGAATGGAAAGATTTCGATATACGAACGCTGTTTAAACGGTTCCACAACCTATATTGTAACGCCATCTCCAACCCTTTTCATACCTTTGGTGAAGAAATACGTTCAAAGTAAGTTGTTATGCATATACTGTTAAGCAGGCGCGCCCTTTGTCTTTTTACTCTAGCCATTGTCAGACATTTTTCCAACACTTGTGGAGCGTGTGCCCGGGATCGGCCTTAATTCTTGGAGGGAATGGTGTCGTATGGAGAGGAGGTTTAGTTTTACTGATAATGGCAGTATGGTTTGGAGCATGGAAGGGCAAGCTGTGCTAGTTCGAAACTTCAATATGCTCCTTTTGGTGAACCTCTTGGTCATTTTATCCGGATGCAGAAGAATCGATTGATTGATGTGTCTTTTGCCCGAAGGGTTAAGCCCGGTCCATAGTTAAGACAGCGCTAGAGTGATAACCTTTGGATTGTCACTACCATTTTTTCTTCACGGTGCAACACAGACGCGACAGCATCGCACCTTGCCATACAATTTATACAGGTGTTATTTCCTTTTAATGGTCTTATTCACAATTTTCGGGCGGAGGTGGTGTAGTGGCAAGTGGCGCACTATATCACACGCACGGTCAGGGGTTCGAATCCCGGATCGATGCCCGCCTAGGCCAACCAAGCCTTCCATCCCCTCGGGGTCGGTGAATTGGTACCAGACTCGTCTGGGAGGATGAAAGCACTGACTTGTACATCGGCTGGCCACCGCAAGTCATTGTATAGGCCACATACGCACTCATTACGCCACTACGATTCTGAATGGAAGTCGAGTGCGGGGGCGCATCCCTCAGACGGGATTGATTAACGCCAAAAACTTTATCCTTTATCCTTTTATTCACAATTTTCAGGTCGCTATTGGATGCAGCCACGCAATTAATAAACACTCACGTCGAAGGGTAGAATGATCTCTGGTTATTTGTGGGTGTATATGTGTATAAATCAGATTATATGTGTTCTTTACTGTGTTTGCTGTATTGGTCACTTAT